CTAAAACATTATTACCCATCACTGACAAACTCCTCAACCCAGCAATTAACCAGAGAGTGAGTCAGGAAATAAAGAAGAACAAGGATAGACAAGCATATTACTACAACAAGGACGCCAAAGACCTACCAACACTTAACCAAGGAGATACTGTGAGAATGATGCCTTACAACAAATCAGATAAAGTATGGAAAAAATCACAAGTAGATCGCCAGGTCGACAAAAGATCATTTGAAGTGACAACAGAAGAAGGCAGAACATATCGCAGAAACCGCAGACACCTGCGGAAGACATCTGAAACATACCATCCAAACACAAGTGATGTATACTCAGAAATTTCCCGACCACCACAAGTGAGAGAAAATCAACAGAAACATGTGGAATTACCAGTGAATAATGACCAATCAGAGATTAAGACACGATCAGGTAGAATTGTTAGAAAACCTGCATATCTGAAAGACTATATCGAAAATTAAGAACTCTTAGTTCTAAGAACACTAGTTTTGAGATTCAGTAAGAACACTAGTTTTGAGATTCAGTAAGAACACTAGTTTTGAGATTTAGTAAGAACACTAGATTTGGGATTCAGTAGGCATATTATAACCGTACAAGAATATTGACTTATCACTTATTTCATAAAGAAGAAAGGATGTAACAAGTGGTATTCAGATACCGTAGTTTTATATACTTAACCTTTTACATGATTATGTTAATGTTGTACGCATGCGTAGTATTGTGTTGTTCTTGAACAGCATGGCCGACACTCAGTAAAGTGTAGTTGTTTACCGACGCAACAAAGACACTGTTTTCGTCCAAGATCTATCAAAAATAAGCGATCTTGGAACACGTAGTTGTGGTGATATTAACTATCATTCAACCCCTGTCCAGTCAATGTAGGGATTGGATGCTACCACACAAATACAACCCCTCACCCTCGGTGTGGAAAAAAAACGAAACAAGTGTTGCCCTGCACACAGTGAAAGTTTTCAGTCTAAGATTTCAAGAAATGAATACGTCCGCATATAATATTCGCGCAATCGGACACAATTATGAAAAATACACGAATTATAATGATATTTCAACAATGTCAGTGTCAAATCACAGAAAATTCATTCAAATATTTCAAAGAACTCAGCCACTCATCTCGGAGAGTTGGAAAACACCCGCCATTTTCAATGAGTACTGGACGCGTGTGGCGCCTTCAACGGCGACTTGCATTGACTTTGCTTGACACCTTGCTTAACCATACATTCTGTTGTTTTTGACGACTCGAACCCCAACGAACGTATCTGGTCAGTGTTTACTCAGATTTACCCAAGAAAAACAATTGAACATTTTTTTTTGCCAGATTAATTCTAAAAAATTAAAAAAAATGGGGGGCCAGGGATTCGGGATACCCCTCGCGGGTGTGCGTATTTTCGTACAGTGGCGACGGTAAACATTGCTACAATCAATTTTTGGAGAGTTGAGAATCATTTATACAGGGGACGCTCTAGTAATAAATTGTTAAAATTGCCCGATTGGCATATCAAAATCCTGTATTGAAATAGAACATATTCTGTATTCACTAAAAAACAACGTTGTGATGTTTCTGGACTTACAACGAAGTCGAAAAAAAAACAGTCCGATTCAAACAACCTGCGTCCTTATCTTATCGCTCTTGCGTTTCCGAGCGAAAATTCGTCGATGCCAAAAACGACCGATTTTCGCCAAATCTTCTATGATTTTCGGCTCAACTATGGGATGGGTTTCTGTCCTGCGTCTGTCGTCCGTCTATCTATCTATCTGTCTGTCTGTGCACGACTTCTTCTCAAAAACCGCCGAACCGTTTGACTCGATTTTTGGTGTGTGGATGCCTTGATGAGTGTAGATGGTAATTTGTTTATGAGAAGTCGATCTGCCAAAAATTATGCAAATTAGCCCTCCAAAACTCTAAAATTTCTTCTATGCTACTATGACACTAAGTGCTCTACAGTGCTGATTTTGATAGTGCATGTGCCAAGGGTTGTCCTTTATCAGTTTTGTTAATTTGGTAAGGAAATTCCTAATTTTGGCGAATATTTTAAAATGGTCATTTTTGGCCAAACATTATTTTTTGACTTCTTCTTCAAAACCGGTAGCCTGAATGCTTTGATACTTGGTGTGTATGTACCTTGTGTTGACATCTACTAGATTTGATCATCCTATGGCCATATCTTTAATTCTCTAATTTTGGCAAATATTTTTGTCATTTTTGGTTAAAAATGGAATTTCAACAAACCACTATTTCCAATGTCAACTGTTTCTCATTCTCACATAGCACATGGAAGTTCTAAGTTATCTTTGATTGGTCTATTGTGATTGTAAGGAAAACATAACCACTCAACATATTTAAATGTGTATAGACATGATTGATTTTGGTGGAAAATTATGCAAATTATCTAATCTGCATATCAGCTAGTGACATTCAAGCTATCTGGGTGCTATTTCGAGAATCATTCAACATATTTCAACAAAACTTGTATTACATGTATTACAATATGCCGTTGAGCAACAGGCCATTGGCCTATTTTTTGATAATATCATTAATTCAGTCCAGCGGTTAGCTAGGTTATTTATTAGAGACACTCGGGGAACCATAATTGACGATGTGAATCACTCCGGCGACGAAAAGTCAGTGATAATAGCCAAGGGGGTGAGGGACTGAAATACATGATTAAAAAGCAACTTTAATTTTAAAAAGCACTATCAAGCTCCGTGTATAAACACTAGTGTAAAAAGGCGGCGGCGCGCTATTTTAGCCAAAATCGGCCAGTATGGCGTCATATGACACAGGGCTGTGCTGAGGTACCGCTTCCTGTGACGACATTACGATATAGAAGATAAATACTATATTTGCTGCAGTTTATGCAGCTCTCTTGGTCGCGGTATACGTTGCGGGGCGACTGTAGGTTAGAATAGCCTAAGTGGCCAATAAGAGCTGCTAAACTGCAGCAAATACTATAAATGAGAGAATTTTGCCCAGTGGTCCTGAAAAAGAAGATTTTCAAGCGTTTTTTGCCGTTTTATGGAGAAAAAACATGGCGGGAAATGTTGACATTTACGTTTAGAATATTATTGTTGATATCTAATACACATTGTACTATATATCATTAAATATCAGATCGTCTTGGCTCTCAGAAAGTGGTCAAATAGCCACTTTCGGTTTAAATATAAACAAATATGGCTGCGTATACGGACTTGGGCCCCTAATAATCTACAATCTAGGTGGAATAGTGTGTCCAAAAATATGGAGGAACGTATTTACTATCAAATTGCCTTGTGTAAAACCCGGGGGGGTCACTCTATATGCCGTTACTACCCCATGTGCGTTCCAAATTTTTAGCGGGGAAAGGGGGTGTTTTTCACCTTCTAAAGAGGACCCGCGCGGGAGGCAAAAAGGCTCCCTTTAAAATTCTAATGTCTGCAATAGGCCCCCAGGAATAAACTCACAGGGTTGATGTTGTTTGTATACTTCCATTTGATTGGAAAGTGGCTCCTAAGTAGGTATATTGTTCTTTGATTTTTATTTCTTCCTGATTATATTTGATCTTTAGGGATTCTGCTCTGCTTCCAATTTTCCTAAAGATGACTTTGTGTCTTTTTGGTGTTATTTTGCAGACCCCAGTTAGTTGTGTAGCTGTGTAAAAAATCTAGTGCTTTCTGCAGTCCACTACTTGTTGTTGACAGTATAGCAATGTCATCTGCGTATTGAAGACAGTTGATTTTTTTCCCACTAAGTTCGGGTGCTGACATTTGTAGCTCATTTAGATCATTTGTGAAGTCATTCATGTAGATGTTATATAAAGTTGGGCTTAGAGGGCAGCCTTGTTTCACTCCATTGTGTAATTTGAAGTGTGGTGAGGTGACATCGTTTAACTTTACTATAAAATCCATGTTGGTGTACATTGATTTTATAATATTATATACTTTGCCATTGATGTTGTTGTTGAGTAGTTTATATTGTAGTGCTGTTCTCCAGATGGTATCGAAACATTTCTTAAGATTGACAAAACAGCAGTAAATCCTTTTCTTTTGTGTTTGGTATTTCTTGATGACTGTGTGTAAAGTTAATACATGTATATGGTCTGTTGTTCGATGCTTGCTTCGAAAACCTGCTTGATTTGGATGTATGATGTTGTTTGTTTCGAGATATTTGGTGATTCTGTTGTTGATGATCATACTGAGTATTTTTGCCATTGCGTTGCTTAGCGATATTCCTCTGTAGTTGTGTGTATCCATATAATCACCTGTTTTATGTATCGGTGTTATTATACTTGTGCTCCATATCCGTGGATATACACCAGTTTCCAGTATGTGGTTGTATGTTTTATCATTCTGTTTGCATGTTTAAAGAATTCACTTGGAATTCCATCAGGTCTACTAGATTTATTGTTTTTTAGTGTTCTTGTTACATGTATAATTTCAGATAGTGCTATAGGCTTGTTTATTTCATTATTGTCACCCATTTCTTGCTCTAGTTGTGTAAGTTTAGCTTCCAGTTGCTTGACTTTCTCTGGTGGAGTTGCAACGTTTGTACTGATATTTTGGAAATGTTCAATCCATTTAGGGTATGGTATTTCCTTTGTTTTATTAAATTCTTTGGTTGTGATGAGAGAGTTAATTTTTTTTTCCAATATTCTTGTACATCTTCTTTTTTGTCAGCCTCTTCTATGCTAGATAGGATTTGTTGGTTTGTCTCCCTTTGTAGTTTTTCACATATTTTCTGATTTTTTTGCTTTTTGGCATAGTAACTTATTCGTAGTTCATTATCTGATAGATTTTGTTGTATCATATTTGCCAGTGTTTGTAGTTTTCTTTTCATTAGATTGCATTGTCGGTTTGTGTAAATTTGTATTTTATGTGGTCTTCTTTTCTTTTTCTTTTTTTTTTGGATGTGACATTTTTCGGTAATATTTTCATGTTTTGGATTTCTTGGGCCATCTCATCACTTGTGTTCATGATATCTACACTTTTCAGGAAAGCACATCATATCTTCACATTCTTTTGTTTTCATAAACATCTTGTATATGTTTACGTTGTTCCATCCGAGATTTGGTGGTGCTGGTTTTAGTTTTTGATTTATATTCATGGTTGTCTGGTGATAATTGTTTGACATTTTGATTACTGTTTTGATTGGACAATGATCACTTGCTGGATGCAGTTTACCTACTTCAAAATATATTACATTTTTCAGAATAGTATCACTGGCTATTGTGTAATCTACTGTACTTGCACCACTGTATCCATAACATGTCAATTGTCCCGACCAATCACCTGGTGTTCTTCCATTCAATATCCTTAGATTGTTTGTTTTGCAAATTTTAATTAATTCTTCTCCAAATTCATTCTTCCAGGTATCTGTATTTCTTCGCCTTTTTGTATCGTGATCGTAAATGTATGTGTCTGGTGTTGGTAATAGTGCATGGCCATCATCATCATCATCAGTAAACATATCATTAAGATTATGTGTTCTTGCATTGAAGTCTCCCTGTATCAAGATCTGTTCTTTATGACTATATTTCTGTATTTCATTTTGTAGTTCTTCATATGGGTCTTGATCATTATTATTATAGTGTATATGAAGATATCTTTTTCCAGTTTGAAAAAGTCTTTTTTGAGTTGGCACCATTGAGTGAAGCAACTTGATGTTGGTTTGATGTTAATTCCAACCTTGATTATATTCTTGATAAATATGCTTATACCCCCTGATGATCTCCATGCTTTTAATTCTTCGGCCGTGTATTGTGGTATACATAGTAGTCTTGTGGTTGTGGTATTAATAATTTACTTTCACTATCTAGCCATGTTTCAGTCATTGCATATATGTAATATTTCTTAATGTGTGGCAGTATATCAAGCGTTCCTTCTGTTTTCTTATCTATTGACCCATGTTGTGCAGTAATTGTATCTCAGACCTGCTGTGTTCCAATGCCCAATTGTCATGTAATTTGGAGTCATTAGATTGTTATCACCTGGCTTTCTATTTTTTTAGATTTATTATCAGGAGGAAATTTCCATCCATGCACCAAGGTACATTGAACTGTAATGATTAGTAATTGAAATATTAGCGGGAAAGCCAAAAAATACTTAGTATGCAAATTAGGTACATGTATTTAGGATACACGATATTAACCCATAATCTATGAGGTCTGTGCATTGCCCTGTGACATCTATGTAACAAGTGTCATTGAAATTTGAAGATTAATACTTGAGATATAAATGGAAAACGGACAATTGACTAATCATTATGCAAAGAGCATCAATGTACAAAGTTTCATCGAAATCCATGCAGTGGTTCTTGAGATACTGGTGGAATAGGCATACAGATAGGGTTAATCGCGAAGACATCACATACAGGAGTCAAAATCTCGGTCATATTCCATATGTTGGCTGCAGCGTGATTGGCGTAACCCACGAATTGCGACAACCATTTTATGATTGTGGGTATATACTTTCTTTCCATTGAAACGTCTACATTATGTTCCCTGCATCTCAGTTTTAATTACCTCCGCTCCGATCATTCAAAATTATTACCTCAAACCCTGCAAAGTCTGTATGGGATCATGTCATAAAAATGATTGACAGGTCATACTTATTTACTACTCGGAAGGACAATTTGAATCTACCAGATGTGCGTGAGATTAGCTCATGTGAAAACCCAGGTGGTGTCCTGAATCTGGGCCATTTATGCCTATGAATTTGCTAGACCGAGGACAGTTTGTGTCCTTCTTTTTAACGGAGTACTCTGTGTGTTGCTACTGTGATATTATGAGACAAGTGATACAGGCTTTAATCACCATTCTGTGAGACTTGTATAAACTTCTCTGCGATCTCCTGCTATCAGCGGTGCCCTCCAGAATAACAGTGTTCCTCTGCAAGCAAGAATCCTGTGTTTCTTCGTAGTTATGTTGCAGAAGCCATTGAGTGTCATCCATTTCTACGTCCTGGAACTGTGAGTTACCATTCCCTAAGCAATCCCCTATTTTAGTGAATTAATTCATTGTATTTTTCTGTGGTTTGTTTCGTGAAATCTTTTTGAGAGGTATTAAAGCCAGGAGCTTTAACTCGATTTTTTGATGCATGTGTATTTAATTTCCAGTTCTAATGTCTTGTCTACCCCATACTAGCAGTGAAAGAACCCCCCTGTCCAGTGTGAGTTCTGTGTGTGTGCCCCTCTCAATAGCAATAAGCAGGCGTTACTCTGTGACACCTATACAAGAAACATGTGTACACGTCTTTGCGTGACATTATAAACATACTGGGCAGTTAGCTATGCATACTGAGTACCTGCCAAGGAACTTGCTGGACATTCTCGCAAAATAGAGTTAAAACTATTACTTACATTACAAACAAGACTGAACAAGGTTAGTCTCTTTCATTGATGGTGATCCTCGGTCATAGATGTCGTCTGCACTGTAAATTATTTTGAGATCTCGACATCATTATTTTGTTTTGTCTACAAAATGCCCTCAATGAGCCTTCATAGATCTAAACATAGGCACGCTACTTGTTTTCAGTGTCTTTTCAAGTCGGTGTTTATATCACCACTTAATATCATGAGATTTTTTGCATACAAAATGTCCCCAATGAGCATAACAATAAAGTAAGGATGAAATAAAAATTATATATAAATAAATATCAGAGAAAGCTTAAAAAGAACTCAAAATTTAAGATTTGCTTTTCAAACAAGAAGCTTGGCAACTAATTTTTGTCTGCTATTTAAGATGCATAAGGCCAGACTTTTATTATCCCTTGTTTCGTGAACCTGCCGAATGAACAGGAGCCGAAAATGAAATAAATATAAAATTTTATTTCAGTGCAAAAAATTGCTGAGAAAAAATGTTATCTTAATTTTTTTTCTGCCCACCGCATAACAAACCCAAGTTGCATTTTCGTGGGAGTATCATGATCAAAGTACTGAAGTCCCGCGCAGATGAGAAATCAGTCTGGCCTAACATTAAAAAAATGTGTTTCACATTATCAATATTTATATTACATACAGAAAATACATTTGATTTTTCATCCATGGTTTTTTAATAATAGATAATCAATATGCATGTTTATCATGTCTGTGGATTACCTCAATGAACCAAATAAATTATTATACAAATTAAGCAGTTATTATGCATAGATTTAGGTCTGTATATTGTTTCAGTATAATGTGATCATTAATCCTAACTAAATTAGTGGAAAGCGGTAATTCTTATAGATCATGAGATGTATATAAACTTAAAACTAATTTGATCATCACATTGTGCTAGAGTACATATGTACCAAATTCATTGAATTAAGACAAGTACTGTCACAGACAATCTATGTCCTAAGTTTCATTGAAATGTGATTAGAACCAAAAATTATTATGCAAACAAGCCATGCATGGCACAGTCCCTGTTAGTTATCAAATTTCAGATATATAGTTTTGTTTATAGTAATATAGCTGGAATATAATCATGTCAGGAATATCATTTTTTAACATTAAAATGATTGACATTTGTATCTGATTGTCAAACAAGTATCAGCCATTTTGAATACATGTATATATAAATATATGACATGATGTATAACGAATATATAAAATTTAAATATAATAAGTCAAAGCATTTAAGAGATATGGCTCTAGAAGCCCAATCATTAAAACAAAATGACCGCCAGTCAGCCATTTTGAATCCAATCTGAAAAATAAAAAGTTTGAACGAAATCCACCCATAAATGCTCGATATTTGATGATTTTTTAGCACAATAATGACGACCATTCGGCCATTTTGAAAAGGATAGTCAAACCAATACATCTGTTTATCTATGACATGATGTATAATGAATATTTATAATTTGAAAATATTATCAGTCAAAACAAGTCGGAGATATGGGTCTAGAAGCCCATTCATTAAAACAAAATGGCCGCCAGTCGGCCATTTTGAATCTTATCTGAAAAATAAACAAGTCATTGTCAATGACACGTCCCCGTTCCGTTCATATTTGAGTGACATATACATTCAAAGCAGATCATGACCGAAATGCACCTGCATATGTACAACACATTGTACTAAATCTGAACAAAATCCATCCATGCATGATATCTGGTTCCGGAATTGTGAAAATATGTGATTTTAATGCATTTTCGGTCTTAAAATGGCCATCATTCAGCTATTGTTAGGCGGATCATGAAACAAATGCACATATCTATTTGTGACATGATG